TGAGTAACAAACCCAATGATCATCTCGTCTGTAAGGCTCGGATGAATTAACTGTTTTATGTGCAGAAGTGAGGGATTCTGGCCCGACAGGGTAGATTTCTTGAATTTATTACGTCTAAATACTGTGAAATTTCATGGGGCAGCAAATGAAATAAAAAAAAAAAAAAAAAAAAGCTGGTGCCTCTCTTTTCTTAAACCCCGTGCTTTCTATTCATCACATTATTTATTTGTCTTTGTCATTTATTAGGGGCACGTGTCTCTGTTTTTCTACCCTAAACATTATTATTCAGTCCATAAAGACAGGGATGCTTAATGCCCTATTCTCAACTGGGGATTCAATCAATATCATGTAATTATTTTAATGAATCTATTGATATGTAGATGCTGTTTCATGAATGTGCATATAAGCAGTAACCATTCTCCACTTTTTTTTTTTTCAAGACAGGGTTTCTCTGTGTAGCCTTGGCTGTCCTGGAACTCACTCTGTAGACCAGGCTGGCCTTGAACTCTGAGCCTCTGCCTCCCGAGTGCTGGGATTAAAGGCGTGCGCCACCACCGCCTGGCCAGTCTCTGGTTCTTTGAGTTTAGCCTGCTGCCTGTGTTCTTCAGTTCATGCTGCCTTAACAAGATACCACAGACTGAGTGGTAAGACATTTATTTTCACATCGTTCTGAAGCCTTCAGGTTCCAGGTCAGGACCTTGTCAGGGCTGTTTGCCTGGCTTGGGAAGCTGCTTTACCCTCACGGGGCCCTTGCTCTGAAGAAGCCCGGGAGAAAGAGAGTACAAATGAGCAAAACTCTTGGAATCTCTTCTGGTGAGGACATTAATGCCATCAGACCAGGATTCCACGGCGTGGCCTCATTTAGTCTTAATTGCTCCCTCAGACGCCCAGTTTCCAGCACAGCTGACCCCGGGTTAAAGGCTTCAATACTGTGTTCGGGTTGGAAGGATGCATTCTGTTCCCAACACCTCCTGTATCTAGAAATTTAGAAGATGGGATTGGACAATTTTAAGGAGAGTTTAGACTGATTTTTTCTTATCCCACAGGCACTCATAACATTTGAGAAAAAGAGAAGAAATCAGTGTTAAGTCAGAGAATGAATAAAATTAGCAATGATTTACTGCCCTGTTCATTTTTATTAAAAGCCACTTTTATAATACTGACCGTCTGTTTTTGTCTCGTGTGGTGGGAGGAAGTGTAATCCTACATGGTTTTGAGCTCTTCCTGGAGAAGAATTAAATAAAAACAAGAATTTCCCCAACCTACCTACCCTTGACCCCGTCACCATCCCTCCCTCCCTGTCCTCTTCCCCACTTCCCTCCTTCTGTCCCGAGTCACCTCCTTATATTCTTGACCATCATGACAGCTAGCGAGCTGCCAACCTGACAGATTGAGAATTGCCTAGGAGACAAGCCTCCGGGCTCCCTGGTGACGGCTCCTCTAAGTCAGGTTACCCTATCGGCATGTCTTGATCAGCTTAATTGGGATGGGGAGACCCACACACAGTGCTTCCTTCCCCCTGAATCAGCATCTCGGACTGTGTAGAACGGAGAAAGCAAGATACGCGTGAATTCTTGATTGGGGACGCGACATGACCAGCTGCTTCAAGCTTCCGCCTTGATTTCCCCGCCATGATGGATTGACTGTACCTTGACCTGTGAGGCAGAAGAAACTCCTTCTCCCTTACGCTGTTTTTGTCAGAGTATTTTATCGTAGCAACAGGAAGAGAAGCCAAGGCACTCTACCTGTACTAGCTAGTCACTGCTCTTGAGGCAAGAAGGGAATACTATCCTCAAAGTCCTTGTCTGTGGGGATGTTGTTTCCCACCTTGGGGTCATTGCAGATATGAAATGAAACACAGGAAAAATAATTCTGGGGCGTCAGATACAAAATAGCCAACATAACATTGAAGAAGGAATTCGGGGGATAATTAAGAGCGTGGTGGCCCATGCCTGTAATTCTGGCACATGGGAGGGTGGAGGATATTGACTTTGAGGGTGGCCAGGGCTCCACAGTGAGACCCTGTCTCATTACAAACAGAATCCAGAGCAACAAAGCTGGCAGACCAATGCTACACACTAAGGGTTTATAAACCGCTGTGGTAATCTGGACAGTGTGATATCAGTGAAATAATGGATGAATCAATGGAGAGGAATACACAACCCAGAGGTATAGTCTGTAGTTTGACAAAGGAATAGAAACAAGACAAAATGATGCTGGAAATACTTAACAACTACACGCAAGAAAATGAATTTAGTTACAGAGTTTACATCCTTCCTGGAAATCAACTCAAAGTATCATCTGTCAAAAACATAATCCTCAAAACGGTATGATTCCTAAGAGAAAATCTGGGTAACCTTGGGTTTGGCAATTACGTTTTCTACATGACTCCAAATACATGACTCATGAAAGAAATGATCAACAAGCTTAATTTCATCAAAATTAAAGATTCGTGGTCTGTGAAACACTGCAAAGAGTATGAAAGAGTAGGCTGTAAACTTAATACTTGCAAAAGTCGTATCTGATAAAAGACTGTTGTCCACGATAAGCAATGGACTCTTAAAAAGATCAGTGGTAAGAAAACAAAACAAACAAACAAAAAAACCAAAAAACAAAAAAACAAACATCCAACCTGTTTTCAAAAATTGGCCAAATATCCAAAAGACATCTCATCAAAGAGGTATACGCACATGGAAAATGAACACAAGAAGATGCTCCATGTGCAATAACATCCGGGAACTGTGGATTAAACAGCCATGAGACCGTCTGCACGCCGATTAGAAGGCTAAAATCCAGGACGCCAATGACTGAATGCTGATGAGGGAGCAACAGAAGCTCCATGCTGGAGGGGATGCAGGATGGCAGAGGTAACTTTGTGGAAGATAAGGGATGATTTCCCATAAAGCTAAGTGCACGGCACACCCTTGAGAATGCAATCTAATAACTGTGGCTCTTGGTACCCAAAGGAAGATTGTATCCACACAAAACTCTGCATATGAGTACTCATAGAATATCTCTCTCTATCTCCCCCACCTGTGTGTATGTGTGTAGAGGCCAGAATTCAACCTTGGATGTCCTACGTCAAGAACCATCCTTTGTTTTTGAGACAGAGTCTCTCACTGGAGTCTGGGGCCTACAAATTACCATAGGCTACTGGCTCCTGAATCCCAGAGATCCTCCTGCCTCTGCTTTCCCAGTGCTGAGATTATAAGCTTGTGTCACAGGACCTGGCTATTCACATGGGTTCTGGGACTTCCAACTCAGGTCCTCATGTGTATACAGTAAGCATTTTATTAACTGAGCTGTTTCCCCAACCCCGATATGCATAGCAGCTTTATCTATAATTGTTAAAACGTGTAAGCAAGCCAGGATAGTCTATATAAGGTTAGCACAAAAAATAAATGTCAATATCAGCTCATGTAATACTAATCAGTATAAAAACAAACTGTCCAACCATGAAAAGCCATAGAGGAACTGAGATACATATTTCTAAATGAGAGAAGGCGGTCTGAAAAGATTATATAGCTTATGGCATTCTGTCGGAGGAAAGTTATGGAGACAGTAAAAGGATCAGTGATAACAAACATTAGGGATGAAGGGAGAAACATACAGGTGGAGCACAGAGGGACTCCAGGGCAGTGAAACGTTTGTATTTTGTAATGGTGCTGATATGTTACATTATACATTAATCAAAAGGGCCTCACGAGCACACGCCAAGAGTGAATCCCATCGCCAATACTTGATGGGCAGTGTTGCTTGTCAGCTGTGATATGATGCTGTGACAGAGGAGGAGCAGAAACAAAAGCTTCAGATTAACATGTGAAGGGGCTGGAGAGATGGCTCAGTGGTTAAGGGAACTTCCTGCTCTTGCAGAGCACTTGGGTTCAGTTCTGAGCACCCAGAGTGTCTCACACCCACCAGTAGCTCCAGTTTCAGGGGATCTGATGCCCTCTTGTGGCCTCCACAGGCACTGCAGGCACATGGCGCGCATACATGCAGGCAAGGCAAAAGAACTCACATATATTAAAAAAAGGTTTGCAGAGGAACATTGACATCATCTAAGGAGCAGAGCATGCAAACGAAATGCTAATAAAATACAAAGAAGAGAGAGAGAGAGAGAGAGAGAGGAGGGAGCCAGGCAGACCATATACCATATGGCTCTTTCCTCGCCTCACTACCTTTCTTGAGAGTGCTTTTTCCTTAATAATCCTTCATCAATAATAAAAAAAATAACTTTCCTTAATTAACAATCTCTCTATTTCTATTCCACGCCTAACTTAAAAGGCATGATTTTTTTTTCTCCATCTTCTGATAGCTGCTGGGATTTTTTTTAACCTAACTTGTACTATGTTCTTTCTTTCTCTCTCTCTCTCTCTCTCTCTC